ACTATTGTTTCTAATAGCTTCTTGTTACTACTAGTAAGGCACTTGTTACCAATAGCGATGCACTTGTTGGCACTTGTTACTACCTGTGGAGGCCATTGCTGGCCGCTCTTACGCCCGGCCTTCACGGCATCAGACATGTCCAATTCCAAGGCAGCCAGGAAGGCATGCATGCGCTCGTCTTCCAAAGCCAATTGGAATTCGGCCCAAGAGATTGCACCATTGCCATTTTGGTCAAAGTCTTGGAAGATGGTGTAGAGTTGCCGAACCAGGCGTTCATTGTACTCCATCTCATTGTCGATCAAAAGATCTCGCTCTCTCTTGCTCACAGTGCCTTGAAGGCTGCAAATGAAGCTGGTGATGGTGTTCACCAAGATCATCAAGGCAAAAACAATGTATGACAGAAACGCAGCAGGAAAGTACCAGTCCAACGCAGCAACCTCATCCCAAAGAGTACCCCAAAGCAATCCACTGTACTGAATTTGGTACAAAGTCATCATTGTTGAGAGCAAGCTGCCAAATTTCTCGCACAACACGGGCGTGTGAACGTTGGGGCAGCTTGTCCAGATGCTTTCAGTGAGGACTAAGCCATAGACATAGTTGAAGCTGAGCACCAGCAAGACCAGCCAAATCATGATTTTGGTACTTTCTGTCATGGAGGTGATCAGCACACGGAGCTGTCTAAGATGAGTCCACTTGGCCAAGGCATTCTTAAAGGTCCACAAGCAACGTGCCAGTCGAAGGATTCGTCCCACCCGAACGAAGGCTGATAAGTTCCCCAAGGTCCGTGAACCTTCGAGCAAGGCCACGATGAGCATCGTGAGGGAGAGCGTATCCAGCAAATTCCACCAACGTCGGCTTCCCATGAAGAAGAGTCGTCCTAGACTTTCACATCACAAGACTTTTGCCTTCGGAAACTAGTAGTAACAAGTGCCACGCTAGTAGTAACAAGTGCCTTACTAGTAGTAACAAGAAGCTATTAATTTAACTTTAAGCTCTTTTTATGTGTTTGTTTTTTTTCAAATGTGTTCACATCACAAGACTTTTGCCTTTATTAAAACCGTCTTACTGCTAGGGCCTCTCAACTACCTTACTGCTACAAACTTTTTTTTGACTGTGCTTGTTTATGCTGATACCAAAAATAGGCTGGCTAGCAGCTATAGCCGTCCTTCAAGGCAAAACCGAATCAGCAAATCCACACCGAACATGACGCAAAAGCCAATTTCCATCGGCCGAACCCACGCTGGCTCGGATCGATTGAGACTCGTGTAGTGGATCTCAGCACCTCAGCAAAGTGCATAGACGCATAGAGCACAGAATGTTTAAAGGCCGCTCTGCCCCCCTACCTAGAAGCAATGACCTCCAACCTAATAGCAATGACCTCCAACCTAATAGCAATGGCCTCCAACCTAATAGCAATGACCTCCAAGGCACCTAAGCAAAGTGCATAGACCAGCACCATGAAATCCACCAAATACTCATAAAGTCCCATAAAGGAACGGCACAACTCTACGGCATTCCTTCTCGACAAAGACCGAGTGCTGGAGAAAATGGGAGCTTTGACCTCATGACTGGCCTTTACTCTCTCGATGAGTTGAACCAAATGAGGTGCCACGCCTGCCTTCAGGGGAAGAAGCGGCCATACTACTAGGAGCAAGGACGCTACTAAGGGGCTCCTGGCATCGCTACTTGGAACAAGAAGCTACTAGTAACAAGGGGCATCGCCACGAACGGAGCGATCGGACGCCCACAGCCTTCAGCCCAAGCTCGGCTTCGGGTCCCAACGAGACGCTCAGGGCGCCACCGGTGGACGTGCGCCGGCCCGACGGCCCCGACGACGCGACGCGGTGCACCGGGAGGTCGTGGTCGAAGTCCGGACGTGCGCGTCCGCCCGACCCCACCAGGATGCCAAAGCTGTGGCTCAGCATCCTGGAGCGCAATTTGAAGAAAACGCACTTAAAGCACTTAGCTTTAGCTTGGCATAACCTGATCAATTGAAAAATCCAATCCCCACACGTCCTCGAAAGCTGCTCCATCTTCTCATCGAAATGAGCCTTGATCTGGAGCTCATGTTCCTCCAACAAAGGGCGCAAGGAATCCAATTGGAAAGGGTCCAACGTCACATCGCCCCGTATCGAATCAGGTTGGGAAATCTCTGGTTTCGAAGGCATGGCACAACTCCGAAATCTGAGCGAACCATAAAAATCGATGTATCTGAGCCAAAAACGCCGATCAGAGGCGGCTTCAAGACTTTTTGTGACTGACAAGGAAAAAAACTACTTGAGAGTCAGCAATTCAAATGGGATGAGTTCGTGTACACTCTGCATTCATGACACAACTCGCATGAGTGTGTCGGTCATGAGTGTTTGAAACGTAACGAGATGTAGAGAGTATCATCACTATTGGGTTGAAGGCCATCACTATTAGGAGCAAAAAGCTACTAGGAGCAAAGGGCCTCGCTACTAGGAGCAAGCGCGCTACTAGTAGCTCCTGGCATCGCTACTAGGAATCCGGGCATCGCTACTAGTAACAAGAAACTACTGGGTAGCAGCGGCGTGTGGTCACACTTGAGGGACCGACGCTTGAAGCATGAACTTCTCATCCACCTGGACACATCGAAAATAGAGCAATCGTGAAAGTGTTTAGCGGAGGCTCAAGCGGTTTAGCCTGTTGTTCAAAGTCTTGACTCGTCAACCATTTGCCCTCCAACCTAATAGCTATGGCCTCCACCCTAGTAGCGATGGCCTCCCAAAAAGGATTGCAAATCATCCCTCTCAGAGCTTCTGTGCTAAGACTCAAACATTCGCAAGGGCCGCCCGGCACATAGCTGAGGTTTTGGCCATGATCACACAAAGAACGTTTGGAGCATTCAAGTCAAGGAATTTCTGTCAATCAGTAAACCGGGATGGTAAGTCTGTATATTCATGTCAATCAATGTTCAAATCAGAACTGAACACTGAAAAGTTCCATGCATCGCTTCTTAATTCAAAAGGCCAAAGGCGAAGAATAAACTACTTGTCAGGTGTCCGTAAACAATCAGGCGTTCAAAAGGAGATTGGAGGACTGCATAGCCTTATTTTTCTGCGAGCCTGTCCGCAAAGCAATCCTCTACATCAGAGTATGATTCCAGGACAACAAGAACGACAAAGAGGGAAACCAGTTTCAAAATCCCTATGGGGAGAGAAACAACACTGACTCATCGAAAAACAATAGAACAATAAAGCAAACAAACATAGAAAATCAAATAACGGTGCTAAGCCAAAATGGGCTGAAACATCGCATTTGGTCACAAAAACTTTCTCCAGACATGTATCTTGCTCGTTTCCTTCTCACCTTCATGTTGATTTTGCACCTCGCTTTCCGTTCAGTTGTTAAGATGTAGCAAGCTCGAAGTCGTCTTCCTTCAACCTGGTGCCACTTCGCTGTGTCACGCCGCGTCGATTTTCTCATGTCCTGCGCTTCACAGGCCGCGCAAATGCGTCCTGCACAACCGCATCGTTGCGCTGCACCGTATCACACTGTGAGTCACTCGGTGACAGACAAGAATCACAAGACTAAGGACGTGCAAAAAAAACAACAACATTCAAAGAGCGTGCAAACGACGTGCGTTTTGATTTCGGCCCAAGCGGTCCCTTGCGGTCACTATGCTCGAGCGGTCACTTGCGGTCACTTGCGGTCTCTTGTTCAAGTGTCACTTAGGGCCACTTGCAGTCACTCGTCTGCAAGTAGCAAAAACATATCAAGTCAGAGAGCACAAGCGCACGGAAGGTCATCAGAGATTACATGGCGCTCATGCCACGAGAAGGATCGTCAGGAGAAACAAGACTAGAGTGACCGACCCACTTCGGAAACCAGTTTTTCTCCCGAGGGCGCCGTTGAAACTTTTGAGCCCCACGCACTCGTCACACGGAAAAGGAACAAACAATTTCTGCACCAGGGAAACATGTTAAAAAAGTGTGCCGGGGGACATATTCCGACAATATCGTACGAATTTGCAATAAATCCGTTTACGACAGAAAAGCACCCCACGAACTAAGCCAAAGCCGCAGCCCATACATGGTGCCAGAGATAACCCACACGCGGGCCCTTCCACTGCCCTCTCTCGATGACCAACTTGGAACGCGCATGTGAGCAACGCGACGACATCAAACGCCCCGCAAGAAGCGTTGGCGCTCCCTTGCGCGCGCGCGGGTCTTGTTGCTCCCGCGCACAGGACAATGAGCAAAGCCCCGAGAAGAGCCAGAAGCCCAAAAGGAGAAAGGGTGCTGGAGAAAACCACACACAAGCAGAACAGCGTGGCGTCATCCTGGATACCACAACCTGCCCAGAGCTCCACTTCCAGGACGTGGCGCGTCGTCGCACGGCGTCAAAAGGCGTCGTTTGTGGGTCAAACGATTACAGCTGGCGACAGAAAAACAATCAAAGTTCACGCGACCTCGTCATGAAGATGAAGAAGGCTCGCTGGTCATACTGGCTGCAAGATGCACACTACCATTGCCTTGCCAACCGACTCCAAAAAAAAACACAAGTCAGACGATCATGGGAACTCATCCCACATGACCATCAGCATCAGTTGGGCGCAGTTCAATACCCTGGTACCCAACTTTTCCCGGCAAGAGACCCCAAACGGTGTGCTTGAGGTCTAGAGGTGTAGCAGCAGATGGTGGCGATGAAGCGATGGTGGTGATGGCGGCGATGGTGGTGGTTGGTGGTGGGCGGTGTTGGTGGCGACGGTGGTGGATGGGGGTTCGCAAGCTGGGAAAGGTCCACGAAGCACTGCTTCTGCCACAAAATCTGCACTTCAAGGTCCACAAAGTACTGCACCTGCCACGAAGCTTGCACTTCAACATTGAAATTGTTCTGCTCCTACTTATTTCACTTCACTGGACTTTACTTACTCGCAATCAGTTGCGGTCACTCGAGTGGCCCTTTTCTAAAGCTGCGACCTGAAAAATGCGAAACATTTTCCATGGTCCATGGGCACAAGCCAACAAGGGGTATTAGAGACAATGAATCGCATACTGATTGCGGTCACTTGTGGTCACTTGCTCGATCGGTCACTTGCAGTCTCTTGCAGTCACGCAAGTGGCTGCTTTTCGAATCAAAACCACACATTTTGCGAGCTCAATGAAAAGTTGAAGAAAAAACAAAACAACCAGGAGCAATCTTTGCTACTAGGGGCTACTGGCATCGCTACTAGGAACAAGAAGCTACTAGACCAAAGGAAGGTCGGTAGCACGGTGCCTCGAGAACTTTGCCTCGCCTCTTCCAGCCTCACAAGATGTGAAAAAGCGCAGCACATCTAATCCAAATGTAAGTGCGTAAGATATAGAAAACTAATAGCGATGGCCTCCAACCTAGTAGCGATGGCCTCCAACCCAAGAGCGATGGCCTACAGCCTAATAATGTAAGTATGGGTAAGAAAAGAAAACCCTATAATTAGCCTGTTGATCTAAAATGCTTTAAGTAAAATGTTAAAACTAAGTCTAAGACAAATCCGACGCCTTAGCAAGACCTAAAAACAAACTGAATCAGTGCAGTGTGATTCGTTGCTTTGGTCGAGCCTTTGCCTTTGCCGCTTGAAGCGACTGGCCTTGGATAACACAAAAAAGGACACCGTGAGGTAAGGACAAAGAGAGACAAAACTGAACAGAACTGTCAACCGGATGTAAAAAAAGCTAACAGCGATGGCCTCCAACCTACTCGCAATGGCCTCTCCAACCTACCTCCAACCTACTAGCGATGGCCTCCAACCTACTAGCGACCAGCGATGGCCTCCAACCTAGAACGGAACTGTCAACCCGAATGTCAGAAGACCACAGCATTGCAAACACGCTTGCCGCAAGGGTCCCTTTTCCGTTTATATAGAGCCCCACGGCGCCCAGAGCTGCTCGGACTTCATCACAACTTGGTTTGCTGTCTGCGGTGGTCCAGTATGTCTCAAGAAACCAAGCAAAGTAGCCAGGGGTAGAGACTTTGAGATACGTAATGATACGTAGAGTATCCAGAGGCAGCACATGTACTTCGAGGCCATAGATCATTCGGAACTACGAACTTCTACCAAATCACAACCAGCATGTCACAAGGCTCCAACGTGGTGGCTCCACCACTCCAAAGCTTCTGAGAAGCTTAAGAAGCTTGAGAAGGCTTAGCTGTGTGAAAGCTTTGTGACCAAATGTCTGAAGACACGTCACTTCCCTTCAGGTTTTCCTTCTCATATTCCTACTGGTCACAGCAAAAATGATGTCAAATGCCCATGCCAGCCTCTGCACGCCAAGGCCTCGCTCGAGTGTCTCCACTTTCTCCCCTGAGCTGCTTCATCCAGCGAGAGAACACCCGAAAAGGATCGGATCAATTAGATCAACAGGATCGGGCATCGCTTCGAACGGAGCAAGGATGCTACTAGGGGCGCTCCTGGCCTTACTAGTAACAAGAAAGCTACTAGTAGCAAGGACCCTACTAGGAGCAAGGACGCTACTAGGGGGTCCTGGCATCGCTACTAGGAACATGAAACGAATCTTAGTTTCTTCGATTGTTTAGGTGTACATTAGATCAATCAAATCTCTGCATCTTCTCTGGACCCAACCGTGGACAGCAACAGGTCGTGAAGGAAGTGCTGCACTCTTCCTGTATCGTGGGGCATTGGAGAAGTCAAAAAAATCTGTTGGGTTGGACGCTACTAGTAGCTCCTGGCATTACTACTAGGAACAAGAAGCTACGAGTAACAAAGGGCATCGCTACTAGGAGGTGATTGCTACTAGGCTACAGGCCATTGCTAGTAGGTTGGAGGCCATGTGCACCATCTGAGACAAGAGCGATGCCAGCGGCAAATCTTCTTCCAACTTCACCCCCGTGGTGGCGATTCCCGGTCCTGAGGATGAATGGTGCAGTAACAGGTGCCTTACTAGTAGTAACAAGGACGCTACTAGGAACAAGTGCATCGCTTCTAGTCACAAGTGCCTTGTCGCTCGATTCGATACTCAGATTCGGGGATGACTTCAGGCCTGGTCGCTTGGCGAAGACTGGCGCAGTCGACTTGCTGAAGCCCACAGACCCATACCTCAGATTTCCAGAAAGGCGCGAGAAAGCAAGAACTAACCTGTAACTAGTAGCGATGCACTTGTTACTACTAGTAAGGCACTTGTTCCTAGTAGCTTCTTGTTACTACTAG